AAAATTGATTCGAAACACTTAGTTGCCAAAATTAACGCAGACAAAAGGCAGAAGTTAATTGTTGCGAATTAAATTTTGTTTGTTTCAGCATTTACTTATCATTTGCAAAGGTGTTATTGTCTTTATCACTTACAATTAGCTTAAACGCAGTATTTTTCATTCTAAAATGTTTGAAATGTTGCGACTTGTGAGAAGTGGAGCTTTGTTATTTTCGACGCGCGCCTGAAAGTGTTCTCTGTTTTACAGCGTTTACATTAGAAATTACCTCAATAGAACTGAAGCTAGCATGAAACTTTCGATTTCTCTTGAAAGCATAAGCACTGCATAATTACGTCAAGTAGTTGGTTGGAAGACATAAATATTTTCATATTATTTTTGTCGTGTCCATTCGATATTATTTAATGAAATATGGGCGCCTGCATGACGAAGGAGAATTTGTATTTGCCGCAATCGTGTCTGCTTTGATTATTTGCTAGTAAGGTATTAATATCATTTAGTTTTTTTTTTTTTACGCAGGAGAATGTGAATGGTGGGGTAAAAAATATTTACTCGGTGGACTCATAACAGACTTAAGAAAGACGGGATATATTTCTCCACTGCTTGGAAAGCGCATGATGTTGAAAATCGGCTTTGGTCAAGGCTGGCGACTGAGAATTTACCACATACGGTGTACCACCATTCGAGCTTCAATTTATTGGCTTACAATAAAATGGTTTGAAAAAATACAGAGAAAAAATAACTGAAATTCGTGTTGAATATGGAAAATGTAAGCATAGCCTTCAGTTCGAAGCGAAGGTCAACAAGGAAAACTTACATGCCTGTTTATCTCGCTGGAGGTCTTGGTTTTGGCAGTTCTGAGCTTTTGCAGGGCTCGGCTAGCCGTCGTCCCGGGTTATTTTTGCCGGCTAACTTGTCTTCAATATTTCACTTTCCAGCAGCTGTTGGAGGCTTACACTTTTCCTTTCGAATTTCAGTATGTATTTTGACATTCAACTACACGGCAGTTCACCTCAGTTCAACTATTAGGAGTTTTAGAAATTGTTTTCGCAAAAGGTCAAACAGCTCACCAGGACGAAAGCGCCAAACAAAGTTTGACTATTCCTACGTCACAATAACGTAATATCCAAGATGGTGTTTTTCCAACCACGAAAGTTGTGAAAATGGCCAACTTCGAAGCACTATTGTCGCCAGTGCAAAGCAAACTAGACTAAATGGCAGTTATTTTCGAACTCCTGAGGAAAAAGTCTTCTACTGAGATAAACTTTTTCTAGACCGTACTTTCCCTTTAACTGCTTCTTTGGATACAGAATTCCTACTAGAGTCCGTGTCCAAATATCGTGACGTCTTGAACCTTCAGTGGAATGATGGCAGGTGATAAGCTGTCAGTGGGTGAGGCGTCATCGTCATCACAAATCCTTTAGACAAGTCAGCCT